CACGCTATCATTGATTCTGTGCGCATTCAATCTACTACGAACCCGTACGCAAGGAACAATATAATTCTGCTGCTTCTCATCAACATAGCAATTTTAATGGTCAGCTTTTTCTAGCATGCTGTAAGGGAAAGGAAATATCTTTCTCCTCATACATAAAAGAGGAAAGAAGTCTTTTTTATGTAATTAAAATTCAAAACTACATATTTAATAAGGTCAAGAAAGCAGAAAAAGGGCATTGCTGGCCGTGGCCCACTAGGCCTGTTGAGTTTAGTTTAGTTTTATATACTATTTAATATCAGAGAACAACTTGCTTTTCCTATATAAAAGATTTTTTTTTTTAAATTGCTGCCAATGATAATGCATTTCTTCATAAACATATTTTATATTTGCAAATTTGTCCATTAAATCATTTTGACAAGTTACTACTAGTTCTGCACTATCATTATGCCATCCTGGTTCTTGTAGCACTTTCCAATATTAAATATCATGATTCTCAAAAAAAGAAAAATCAGCTGGTGACAGATGAGAAGAATAAGGCACACTATGAAGCAGATTGCTTTTCAAAATTCTAGTGGATAGTGCAGCCATGGACATAAGTGTTTAGATCTGTATTATATAGAAATAAAGACATTAGTAGCAATTACATTATAAAGTTGTAGAGTTCCTGACTCTTATTCTACAACAGTAAATGTTGAGGAACCTAGGTAACTAGTTCAAATAACAGGAATCATAAACTGAAGACAGAAGTTGAATCTTCCTTAAATACTACTTCTTACTCATTTGCATTCAACATGATTCTAAAAACTCATTCTGGTAGAGTTGCAAGTTGAAATGAGGCAAGATAGGAAAGCAGGATTAAATTAAAATAACTGTTATAAAATTAAAATATACCTTACAAAGTATTGAACATCTAAGCTTTTTATGAGGAAGAAGAAAACACCTAAATTATTTTTGTGAATTTAACAGAATTCTGGACCTTCTGATATGACCACAATATATATAATACTTTTTTATCTAATTTTTTTTAAGTTTTTTTTAAAAAAAAGTCCTTAAAGAATAAAACAGTTTATAAATAATAAATATATACCAGGTTTAATTACTGAATTATGTTTTTATATTTTAATTATTTATTTGATTGCATTAATTATTCTTATGACATTTCCAAACAAATAATTACAGCAGCATTTTATTCGAAATTCATATAACAACTTGAGTTTGATATTAGTTAAAGCTCAGCTATTATCTGCCAAAGAAAAAATAAGCAGCTAGTGCATACATAGAGATATGAATGCATATCGTAGTATCAGTGTTCAGCAATCTTATTCACTAAGTAAATAGTGAGCCATATAAGAACATGAGATCTGGAGTGATAACAAGCATGTATACCTTTTAAATATCAGAAGATGGATTGCTAATATCAGCTAAAAAAAGTAAACACTCAAAGTCACAAGGGAGAAAGAGAGAAAATTTTTAAAATAAAACCTTTATTCTGTTTGATATTTTATTGCAAAATAATTAACATATATTTTTTCATTACGCACCTAAGGTTTATTTTTTCTCAACTATAACTTTCACACAAGAAAACGAAATGAAGCATTTCTGAATTAATGAGATTTGTTATTTTATAAAGTCATATTTTTGGTGCATCGACTAAACAATTGCTTATTACTAAGAATTTCTTCAAAAATAGTAAACAATTTGTATAAAATTCTAAGAGTTACAAATATTTTCACAGTTTTTGTCAATACCCTCATGGCTATTGTATAAATTACATATATAGCATATTTTTTCATTAGATCTGGATGTTTTTGATCTTCTGTGGAAAAAGTCATCTTCAAGGAGTATTTTCAATAACCATATTTGTTCATGCTCTAAAGCAGTGCTTGTCAAGTGGATTTAACCAAAGACTGGTAAAATATTTCGGTATGTTCTTGCAGACCGGTAAGTTTAATAATTCGACCCATTGGCACAATTTTTTCACATAAATAAATCATGAAGATAAAAATTTAAATCATTTAATTTACATATGCATATTCAACTTACTTAAAATATTGCATCGAGAATAAAACTACCAAAATTTAACTAAATCTCCAAGAAAATCCCATTTTCGCGGACAGGTAAATATTTCTAGCGGACCAGCGGTTGAGAAACACTTCTCTAAAAAATGCTGGTTGCTGTGGAAGGACTCACTGTACTCAGTCAAGAGTAGTACAATGCAGATAAATTACAAATGCATTAACAAACTTCAAGGAATACTAAATGTTGATAGGTCAACTTAAAATAATCGAACTATTTTTTATTTATTAGTTGTTTGTTCAATAATTAGCTGCAAATCTTTTTTAACTCTCTGGTTGTCCAGAACAAGCCTTAGAATGTCTTACAGATACACATAAACGAAATTGTTTCACCTGAAAGATTTCTACTTCACAGGACACAAGTCGTACCTTCCAAGGTGAATCCTTGTGTTATGTACACATATCAGCATACTTCATTCTTGGAATTAATCCAATGTTCTTCAAATAGCACCCAAGAGCTAACTTACAGAAAACAATTAAATTTAAAGAACATAGATCCCATTTCAGGTATAACATAATTTCTTACATTAATTGAAAGCTCTTGGTTTGCATTCAGATTTTTTTCCCATTCCACATTTTGATTGTATTTATTCTGTTAAAATGGCAGTATAAATATGAAAGTTTTAATATCTTTTATTCAATAATAAATAATATTCAGAAAAAGAATACATTTTAACAAACAGTTATGAAAGACTAAAGTTCAGGAATGGCTAACAGTTCCGATATGTCTTCAAGTACACTAAAGAAGTACACGAAGATGATTTCAGCAGTGGTTTTACAAATTAAAGAATAATTAAAATTGTTCCAGACATTACTGATTTTTACAGGATTGAGCATTTTGTCAGTGATCAAGAAGCATTTACTGAATGACAGAGAATTTTTTTTTTTTTTTTTTTTTTTTTTTTTTTTTTTAAAGCCACACAGATTTAGGACCTATCCATTAACCCTTTGTGGTGCACTATTTGGTTGGCATTTCAACAAGAAAAGTTGTATGCAGTCTAACTAGGCCTAAAGGAGTATACAGACAAATTTTTGTGAAAATTGCACTTACCGTTTCAATTTTGTGGGTGTTCCATGAGGTGGAACACTGCGCCACCAGAGCTCTTAAAAGTGCGACTAAGCGAGCATTGCAGTGAAGCATGGAAATGAGTAGAAGCTTATGTATAGTAATGAAAAAACACTGTATTATAGCTGTATACATGGTTTTCTAGATATACACAACTTTCTTGAATATATATGGATGAGATAAATATATGTATATACACAAGTCCTATATATAAAAATATTTACAAATTTTTCGATTTCATAGCTTCGTGAAATTTTGAAAGCATGTCACATCTTTTTGATAGAAGCACAAACCAACTTTGCAGGTTTTGAACAAAGAACTTCTTTTGTGTGGCTTCTGTTCCATGCAACAATATGTTTAGAATTCCAAGTAAAAAAGAAAGTGAAAAGAGAAAAAGAAACTCTTTCCTCTTCGGAAAGAGTTTTCCTGCCATTTATGGAAAATTAATAATAAAAAAATAACTGCAATTAATATTAACAATAAAGAAAAATAAGCTATAAGATATACATACACAAAAAATATCTACACAATTATTGTAAATAAACGGGAATGAGACTAAAAAGCGATAGCAAAATAATTCGCGGAGCTCCCCTAAGTAAAGATGACTCAAGCTACTGATAAAATTCCCGCCTGAAAACCACTCAATTTCCCCCATATTAGGGCTTTCATAGCACAAATCACACCTCACTCCTCAAGACTGCTTTGTTTGAATTCATTCCCCCAAAACAACGTAAATAAAAACATATACAACAGATGTTTTCTCCTAAGACAGATGTTCTGATGCGTAATAGCATGAGATCGCTAAAGGCACAGTGTTCCCGCTAATGGAACACCCTGTTTAATTTAATGATTCTGTGCATGCTTTTTGTATGAAAAATGTAAAAAATGTATAACAAATAATATAGAGTACAGCCATCAAAATTATACGGAATTTTTTTTTTAACCCCTTAACTGCTGCAGGCGTATATATACGCCTTGCTCAGCCGATGCGTTAACTGCCCCAGATGCGCCCAAATGCGCAGCCGATGCGTTAACTTTGCGAATAATTTTAGGTGTAGCAGTGCAAATGATAGCAGTTTGGAAGGACGCCTGGGGCAGTTAACGCATCGGCTGAGCAAGGCGTATATATACGCCCGCGGCAGTTAAGGGGTTAAACAAATTTTTTTGCGTCACAAAAAAATATAGAAAATTACTAGAAAATAAATGGATTTTAATAACACATCATAAATGAAAATTCTGGGTCTCCTTGTGATATGCTGCCATCTACTATTTAAAAAGAGAAGGTTGAAGTATATTATAAAGGCATTTTTATCCATTTACGGTTGAATTTAACGCTTTCAGAAGCGATTCAATTTGGGTGTTCCATGTAGTGGAACACTGAGCAACAAAGGGTTAATGGGGATTATCTGTTAATGGAGATTCAACTGGAATTTAAGGTCTTACACTCCAAACCAAAAATGGATTCAAATTTACTCATGTTTTCAATGTAAATAGGAAATCATTCTTTTAGAAGAAAGAATATAAATTTAATTTTTAATATTTTGGGCAAAGCAAAATAATTAATATAATTTTCCAATAAGTTTCTAAACATGACAAAAAATTTTAACAATGGATTGCAGGTAAATATAAATTGAAGGTCTAGAAATATTTAGAATTTCAGATTTCCATATAAGTTTTACAGCTGCTTTGATGAGTGGCATTGATGTGTGTTCATATGCTCTGACCTCCCCCACCCCCCCAAAAAAAATCTGCTTTCTCTCTTTTGAATGGAAAATGGGATTCACATTTTTGTTTGCATTATTATAAATGTAACTAATTATTATAAGACTTAGTATTTTCAGTACTAAAATAAGCTTACATTTCAGTATTAAAAAAGCTTTAATAATATTCTTATTTCATTATATTAAAAAATAAAAAGTGTTAATACTACAGACTTGCATAACAGCAAAAGTGTAACTAGTTTCTAATAAAAGCAGTAAAGGTAGTCAAGCTTTGACACACACCTATCAACAGCTTTAACAATAAAAAATTAAACCCATCAAATTTCTGATTAAAAATTAAAACTACTGTTCTTATTCAACGAATGGGAGATGGAGATACACTAATGCAACAAAGCATAACCTTTTCTTAAGATATTGTAACTCTATATAAATCAAACCTATTCATTAAAATTACTTTTAAAGATGATTATCAGAAAACGCCTAAGTACATTATACAAAAGTGAAATCATGAAAAGTTCTATTAAAAAATTCTAATTATGTATAATAACAAACAATGGAAAACATAAAATATTTGCTTTCATGAATATATATATATGCAAAATAATGTATACACAATATACACAGAAGATTACTGTCAGATAAGATGACATGCATTCATTAGCATAAAGAAAACATGTTTTTGAAACAGATAAAACACAAGTAGTTTTGAAATAAGATTAAATAAAAATAATACGTGATTATGATTAGTTTTATTTTTAAAATATATTTTCTTTTATCTAATGTGCTTGATATTAAATATAAAATAATTCATATGTTAAGAAAGATTTACAATATATATCACTATAATTCAAACAATTCCTAGAATACAATATCATTACACCTGCACTGCTATCGTTTTAATTGTGCTTTACAAAGTCCAGCAATTGTTTTGGCTGCCAGAAACAAAATTTCTCGCCGTGATACACCGGTAAGAGCTTGATGCCATTCTCCGTGATGAACACCATATGCTGATCCCAAAATTTGTCCAATTGTAACTTTATAACCAGACCAACCAAGAGGATAATCAGTTGGAGTTTGATCTTTTGCTTGTAAAACAAAATGACTAGGTATGGGAATGGCTTCAGTATATACTTGTAAAGATATACTAGAATGATAATCTTCGAGCAGTAAGCAACCAATGTCAAACCAACTAAGAGAGAACAGAGGTATACAATTCATTAAGTCTGATATTGTTTAAAAAATAAAAACAGCAATTCTATTTAAACAACCAAATAATTTGTTTTTGTTTAATCAATTATAATGAATATTGGATGCTTAAAAAAATAATGGCATTTTATACTAATCACAACCACAGGATGTATTTCAATATGCATTTCTTGATACTCTAAAGCTTAAAATGATTAAGATTCCTTTAGTGCTATGTAAAAACACTGATTTATAGTGAAATGCTTCAGAACCTTGTCTATCAGAAGGAAAAAACTACTGCAGTAACTACAAGTATAACTTCTGTATATTTTTATTAATACAGAGGCTGTTTGCACATTTTTAAGACGATTTTGGTAAGCGGTAATAAAAAATCGTTTGCTTCAAAAGAAGTAATTGCAATTGTACTATGTTTTTTAAAACTCAAAATTATCGTCTGTGGCTTGAAAGTTTTGTTTTTATTCAAAATGGCGAATTTTACAAAGCAGTGGTTCGAAGGCTACATTTACGCTCTTTCCGAAGAGAAATATGCATACTCCGTTATCCAAAAACGATGTGAGAGTCATGGTTTTGTGATATCTAAAGCGTCTATAGGTAATATCATCAACAAGAAAGGAAAAAAACGTCAAATTGGAGCCTCAAGTGGGACAAAAATTCCAAACGAGTATCCAAGGAAAAAACGGACATCTTCGACTATTGCAAAGGTACGTTGTTTAATGTTAAAAGAAAATCCCCCAAGTCAAAGGACAGTTGCAAAATCATTAAAATGCTCGGTGTCCACTGTAAACAAAATGATAAACGTTGATTTAAATCTTAAGAAAGCGAAAAAACACAATGTGCATCGTCTTCTTCCAAAGCATATTGCTAAACGCAGGACACGCTGCAGAATTCTATATGAGAAACACTTATCCAAAGAAAAATGGAAAACAATTGTCGCAATAGATGCAGCATGGATGTATTTAAATGATTGTAACAAAAAAAGAGCCATTTATTATCATAAAAGGGGAGAAAAAAATTTAAGTACATGGTTCAAAGAATCGAAAGAAAGTTTTTCTAAGGGACTCATGATTGTTGCTGGTTCTTATAATTGCAAATTAAAAATAAAGAGAGTGCAAAAAAATGTCAAGATTAACTCCAAATACTATCAGGAACATATTTTATCGCAATTTTTCTGAATGAAATACCATCGCTTTACCCACAGTGCCATCAATCTGTGAGGCTCCATCAGGACAAAGCTAGCAGTCACACATCAAAATCCACTGTAAATTTCCAAAAAGAAATGGAACAAAAAACTGGTATCAAGGCCATACCCTTCACTGATATCCCTACTACATCTCCCGATGTGTCACCTATGGATTTTTGTGCTTTCGGACTTTTAAAAACTGCATTATCCAAAAAAAAAAAAAAAAAAAAACAAAAAAAAAAAAAAAAAAAAAAAAAAAAAAAAAAACTGTTGTCCCAAAACCCTAACAGGACTATGGAAAGCTGTTTGGGAGGAATGGGATAGAATACCTCTTCTGCCACTTCAGAAGGCATTATTATCCTGGAAATTGTGATGTTGAAAGATAGTTCAGAATAAGGGATGTCAAACAGAACATTTAAAACACAAGAATTTTATGTAATTTAGTTTTGTGAATACAGTATACATCGTAGATGAACTACGGATGAATACCATTCTATATATGTGCTATGCCACTGATGGTAAATGCATGCATATACACATAAAAAAAAAAAAAAAAAAAAAATACTGTAATATGTTTTGAAATCTATGAACTGTGGTGAGGCATAAAATTCTGCAAAATGTTGATTAAACACACTCCTCCCCACCCATCTATTTTTAACAAGTAAGTACTAAACAGGGGAAAAAAGAACATGAAAATGATTTTAATTATACTTCAAAAAGCTGAAGGAATTTTCAACAATAACAACAACAAACATTTTATGAGATTAATTAAAATAACAGTAAAAAAAAGAGTCATTGAACACTTCCTTAAATCAAATCTAGATGCCTCCAAACAAACAAATTTTCTAAAAATGACAATTTTCTTAAGAAAATTAAGCTAGCTTCATAATAACTTAATACATTTCTCACATTCGTAAGTCACAGATAAGATGATGAAAGAGCCATTCGAATTAGGGCATTTTATTTGGGAATACTTTCATGTCTGAATAAAGATATGTAATAGGAACAATTAATTTCAAATCTTACAAAAGGTATGCAAAGAACATAAAACGGTTCTATAATTGAGAGGAAATTTTTCAAAATGCATTACTTCAGTATTAAATTATTTAAGATCAAGAATATAAATCTTTTTCATTTCCCTAATTTGGCTTTCATTTATTTTGCATGCACATATAAATCTATCAGATCACAAATTTGCTTCATACTCAACTTGAATACATGAAATGCAATTAGAAATTTCTAAAAGAACAGTTCTGATCTGTTTTATGTACATACACTGAAATGGAGGGCCTATAATTTTCTTTTTATCTGAAAGTCATGAATGAAGTCTATCCAAAGTCATCATGAAGTTGTTATACAAAATATTATGGTAAGGAAAAAAAGAAGCACGGAGAAAACTTTGCAGTTTTCAAACCTTGTGGTACAAAACATCACTGTAGAAAATAAAAACAGGACAAAATTTTACAATTTGAAAACATTATTGTACAAAATATTGTGGTAAAGGAATTACATAACATCAAAAGATAAAAAAATTGTAGAAATATGCATTTTGCGAGTTTATAATCAAGGCTATGGAGTCGGTAGGGAAAATGACTGACTCCGACTCCTGGAATTTTAAAGACTTCAACTCTGACTCCCTCATATATATATATTAAACATATACATGTGGGTTATTAATATACACATGGGTTATTGCTTATTTTTTTAATATAAGAGAAATAATAAATGCTACAGAAAAAAATTGATGGCATAGCAAATTATTTATATTAATTAGCATTTATTATGAAATGGAAACACTAGCATTAGTTATTTGTAAGAAACTGTATAGCTTCCGCAAGACCTTCTTTGTTGGAGGGCCATAGATCCGATTTGATAAACTTCAGAGCTGAGAAGAGTCTTTCCACACTCACTTGAGCTGTTACTGTTAGGGCTACTTATATTAACTTTTCAGGACAGATTTTTTATACGGTCTAAAAGAGGTGTCTTGCAAATGCAATTATATTTCTTTATTTCTTCAAAGGTCAAGTAGAAATCTTGTTTTTATTTTCTCATTTTTATATCTAAAGGCTCTTGGTTCTTTATTTTCATTCGCTTCTCCTTAACCTTTTCAATATTATCCAAAATTATTTCTCAAAATGTAATTCATCTTTGGAAGAGGATGATAGAGACTCAATTGCAATGTCTGCAGTTTGACTGTCATGATTCGAATTCTCGAATTGTTCTAAGAATAATTTCATTCTTAATGAAAGTTCATAAATGGCTTTCTTTTTGCCTTTTTAATTTGTTCCTCATCCAAGAAAATTCTCGTTTTCGGATCTACATATATTGAACCCAGCAAGATCTTATTGTCTAGCAAACTAATTTCTCTTTTCTTCATTGAAGAAATGATTCCTTTGGCAATAAACCCTCCATTTCAGAAAATCCATCACATTCTTCCATTCTCGCCTACTGTCAGTTCTTCAGATTGCAGCTTTCTTGTAACTATATACAGTGTAGAAAGAAGAGTTTCCAATTCTGCAACATCATTCTACAGTCTTCCTGTTAGTGAAACATTAGGATTATCTACATTTTCTAAAAAAGTTCTTAATTCTAACAACCTCTTTATCCTCAAATATGTATTTCCTTATCACGTTGCTTGATCGATAATTTGCCTTTTCCTGCTCGTTTCTAAGAATGGCATCAATTTTGGAAGTTCTTGCTGCTTACCTAAATTTAGCAGTGAGATTTGTAACTAAATGAATCAGTTTAATCACCAATGGCAAATATCACATCCATCCTCCTCCCTTATATTTATTTATTAATATGTCAATAAAATAGAAAATAACTATTTATTAATGTATATAGTTCAGAAATAAAAATAAGAACTCAGCTTGTCATTAATTTTTTTTTTTTTTCAATTCATTTTAATTTCATTTCAAATTCAAACTGTCCAACAAATATCGGAGTCGGAGTCGACCTGTTTTTGGCAACTCCAGCTCCGATTCAGACTCCACAGCCCTGTTTATAATGTTCAAAATTGTGCAAAACATTTTTTCACCATTGCAATATTACTCTAAATATAATGAGCCCTCTATAAAACACTTACTCATGGTTCCACAGTATTTGGCTCTTCTATGGAGGTAGTTATCTTAGAAAGATGATATTTAATAAAAACTGCGGTGATGCTTAATAAAGACATAAATTGTATTCTCAGACATACTGAATACTTTCAGAGATGGCCATCTGGTTGTTACAGAAGAGCACATTGCATTTTAATAGGAGAGAAAATACAGTTTTTTTAGACCAAAGGAGCATTAGCCCAGAAGGGCTGTTAGTCTTCCCCAAGAGTATTTGCATTTTCTTCAGTAGTTGTATCCCTCAACCATCTTTTCCCAAAATAGAAAGTTGTCATCTTTGTATGTTCCACATGCAAGTCTTCCCCATATTTGTTTACTTGGCACTGAAGATGTTATTCCACACATATAGAAGATATTCAGGAATTCCTCTTACTCTGTCATCATATTCATCTTGTATTTACTTTAGTTTTTTTGAAGGCTATAAGGTTTGATACAGCGATGTCTAAAAATGTCTAAAAAACATTCCCAAGCTTTTTTTCCCTAGCTTCAGAGTTTCTTCGCAATCATGTTTGCACAATATTTTGGATGTTTTGATGATGTTAAAGGTATAGAAGTTGTAGCTGCTTGGATGATTGCTTCAGTAATGGCTTTCACTACATCATGCACAGGGTACATTGCTTCCGTAAGCTCTGAAAGAAAAGAGAAAAGGTCCCTGTTTGCCTTATTAAGTAAAGGTGAGGGAATTTACTCTCTCCTTGGGAAAGAGTTATGAGTTATGAGTCTTCAGACACATCTGGTGTTGAGCTAGTTCGAATGTTCGGCGGTGTAGATGCAAAATGCTGCGTGCTAGCGTCTTAATGGCGAAAGCTCATCTGAGTTGAAGGCATTGTCTCTGGAGGTACTTTGGTGAGATGGGCGGAGCTACTGGCCATCTTGACTAATGGTGCATCTGAAAAGGAAGTGCATCTACTTGCAAGGCAGGCATTGACCGGGGAGAGGAGTTAAAGTAATACCAAAATGTACATTAATATTAGGTGATGTGAATTATTTTTAAGTAAAGAAAAAGGATCATGGAATGCAATAATAGTTATTTCTATGGCATTAGGATAATATAGATATTATATTAGATTATTGTTGGCTATGGTACAGTATAACTGAGTTAATTTACCTTGTAGTAAAACAACTTATGTGACAGAGTTTTCTAACAGATGGCAATTTGTATTTTTCTGAGTCTGGTAGTAGTTCTAAAATTACTTCATAGATGGTGACACTTATGTTGTGTTATAAAGCAGAGTATAATTAAATGAAGATACAAAAACAATCCTTTTTCATCATTTGCTCAATCTGCCTATCTTGAGGATTTGTATCCTTACTTCTCCAGAGCACACTATATCCATTAAATTACACTCACAATAAAGGGTTTTGGCAGCTGCTCTAACAATGCATTTAAGTCTCTCTTATTGATGTCTTCATTCAGAGCCAGATTCATATTAGCCTGAAAAGCAACTGATTGAAGGATGTTGCTAATGAAAGGATTGTTGATGGACAGTCATATGAAGTAAGAAGAATCGTACTAACACATACACATTCACCAACAACACTGTTTTTTATTATAAAAGAATACCTCCTAAGCCTGTCTTTGTATCTGCTTTGGGAATGCTTCCTGTAAAGCAAAGCCTACTGGTTGATACACATTGATCATGTTTTTGACACTCAAAAGACTGGTGGAAATTATGGCAGTTCCATGAAATAAGAGTAGCCATTATGAATGCTTATTTCATCAATGCTGCTTCTTTGTGAGGCATGGAAAGTGATTTTTTGGAAGTTCCAATCTCTCTTTATAGCCATCGTAGCTCATATTTTTACCACAGATGTGACCCCGACTTTTAGGTTTAAAAGTAAGACTCTTAGTCCATTTATCTGAAATAGAATGGTTTTGGTTCAGTTTCAGTAATGTTTATTTCTACTATATTGTCCTCAGTAGTGTTACTTTCTGCTGATTTATTCATAATAAATTAAATTTTATTGATTTAATTTTAGTCGCACTTTCTGATTCATTAATTGCTTTTTCACACCGAATGCTTAGTAGCACTAGCATATGAAATTTTCATATGTAGTTCTGTATTAGCAATAATACTCATGGCTCCCACGTATGTGATTTTTCTTTTAACTTTAAAGCTGCACTTCGTTCTCGGATTTTCATTAAGAACAAGAAAATGCTGAGTGTTCCCCTTTGTAATTGACACATAGAGACACAGCATTGCAATTACTATATCACTATCATGACATGACACTCAAGAGAGCAGCATGCACATGTAAGGTTTCAGCAAATGACATCCCTGCTGGCATTAAAAACACTGGATGGGATAAGGGATGTAATGCAGTCTTACACAACAATGTAAATACCCTGCCTTTTTTTCAGAACATCAGGTGCAAAGGTAAAGATAATGTGCTTTTACCAATCAGCTGACATTTTTACACTGACTTCTGATTTGCTTAGCAGTACAAACATATTGTTCCACCAAGAGATCAGAGATGAATTCTTCTGAAATAGAAAGAAGATTGAATCCTGATTATTCTATGACAACAGTTCAGAGTTTCATGAGCTGAGATGCTTACATAGACATGTCATTGCTTAACATGAGAAAGGCTGGCTAACAGATCTGGTTTAAATTAGTAAGTCAGTTGAGTGAAGCCATTTTATGTTCTTTGGTCCACCTACATATGACTCTATAAAAGGTGTCATTTTCCAAAGTTTGCCTGTAGTGTTATTAATAACTACAAAAAAAGGCAGTGATTTGCTTTCATTGGCATTTTTATTTGCACACTTTTTGCAGAATTCTTTGCAAGCTTACTTTTATAAAATTGCTCTAACAGTATTTTGTGAATTCTGCAAAAAATTCACAAAAATGTACCACATTCAATTAAAGTCAATATATTTGAAAAGGAAAGAGATTTGCCCCCAGCAGACCCACCCATCATGGGATCCAACGAAAGGATGCAGATTTCTGAACAATGGCTAATCAACTCTATACACCCACTGGCTTTTTCAAAAGCTTATTCCCAAGTCACTGACACTAAGTACTAATGTCCAATCAATTGATAATAGCAGGGACAGCTAAGTGACTCCCTCCTGTATGGATTGAAGCAGAAGTTACAGCAGCATGTTGGACAGCAATACCTTTCCCCTCAACTACTAGTACAGTCAAAAGTCGTTAATCCGGACTCGTCGGGACTTCGGCGATTCCGGATTATCGATTTTTTCGGATTATAGATCATCAGTTTAAATCTGGTAAAATGGCATGCAGAAATTATAAAATTAAAAATATGAAACCGTAATTTACAAAATAAAGAACAATTATGATCTAAAGTGTATCAAAATTTACAAAAAAAAAAAAGCTTAATATTTATTTGTTTACTTTACTAAACATTTCTTTCAATGTAAGTTGTTTAAGTTGCTTCGTTTTTTGTGATAATACATTCTCTTTAATTCTATAAACAGACATAATTTCTTCTTCAGTTACAAAGTTCCGCTGTTCAAGTCCTATAATTGCTGTGTCGAGAATACTGACTAATTTGTCAATCAAAAATTTTTTCGTTTTCAATAACCTCTGTCACTTTCTTCGCTATCGGAAGCAAATTATAATGACGAGGCATTTGATTTAAATCATATCAAAGACGGAGTACATCGAAATGAAATACTACATTTAGTAAGCAATTATAAGCCAAATAAAATAAAAACATCTGCCCTGAAGATAAGGATAGTGCTGACAGATGAACTTCCAATTAAGTGCACGCGCTTTGGCGTTAAAGATAAACAAACGTTAAAGTTTAGATAAACAAAGGATATGCCTTTATTCATTTTTTGCAGCAATTCCACTTTTTGTTTAATGGACTCCGAAACATTCTTTCGCTTAGTAGATACGTTACATATTAGTAAATATAAATCGGAAATTCTATTTGACATAATCGAAAGTTCAAGCTTACTTTTATAAAATTGCTCTAACAGTCTTCAAAAAATAATAAGCCGGATCCAATTCGAAGATTAAGGAACAACGCAATCTGCAACATTAACTGAAATAGATAATTAGAGCTTAGCTTATACCGTCCATTATACATTAAATGCACATGCATAAACGTATTAGGCGCATGCGTAAAGGTATTATGAGCACTTCCAGAATTGGAAACTCTTTTTGACATAATCGAAAGTTCAAGCTTACTTTTATAAAATTGCTCTAACAGTCTGCAAAAAATAATAAGCTGGATCCAATTAGAAGATTAAGGAACAACGGAATCTGCAACATTAACTGAAATAGATAATTATAGCTTAGCTTATACCGTCCGTTATACATTAAACGCGCATTCGTAAACGTATTTTGCGCATGCGCAAATTCGCAGCCGTAAAGGTCTTACGCTTCAATGTGACGCATGCGCAGAAAGTTTGTAGCTTTGAGGTCCGGATTATGGGTGTCCAAATTAACAACTTTTGACTGTATTAACCACATAGGTCTTCACACACAGCAAATGCATACGCAGTTTTTTCACCATGGTAAATCAGATGCAAAAGATTTGCAACAGCATCTCACAGTGAGCCCTATGCTCTGAGGAGGAAACACAAAGGAAGAAAAAATAATGGCTAATAGGAGGGGGATAAGAAGAAATGAGGAAAGATCAGCTCATACAAAATGTTATCAAACTATTCAGTTTTCATACTTAAAAAACAAATAATATAAACTAAAACTTACTTTTCAGGTGTTAATTCAGTTAAAAAATTTTCTATTGATATTAAAAGTTGTCTACTATCCTGCACAAGACCGTGAAGCCTTAAATTGTTGATGCGCTCTTTAGCAGCTCTCAGACCAGCAGAGAAACCCACAGGTTGTGGTGCAATACTGCTTGCCTGGATAGAAACACCCTGGACAGTTGCTTTCCCAAATACAAGCTGAAATGCTTCCCGTACAGCAGATACTTTAACTTCATTCCCAGATGCAACTATAACACTAATATCACCTCCAGTATCTGCAATAAGGAAACAAGTTTTGACCCAACACTTAGCTTTAAATGTGTATTATTATGTTACACAAGTTAAAATAGTTCACATACTTACTTATTATTTCTTTCATTCCTGGATCTAACGTCGTAATAACTGAGTCAACGGAACTCTTAAAAAAAAAAAAAAAAAAAAAACATGAAAGATAAGTAAAAAAGAAATCAATGCAATAAAGTTAACAATGCAGGTTTAAAAAGCAGCATATCACCTTGAAAATTAATAACATGGAAAATTATATTAATTAGTATAACCTATAGAATGTATCTGAAAAGAAAAACAATGTCTCTCATCTTCAGAAGCAAGTAATCTTCTACAAATATTTGCTCATTTTTGCTTTAAAAACTACTACAGTCAAAAGTCGTTAATCCGGACTCGTCGGGACTTCTGCAATTCCAGATTATCACTTTTTTCCGGATTATAGATCATCAGTTTAAATCTGGTAAGATGGCATGCAGAAATTACAAAATTAAAAATATGAAACCATAATTTATGAAATAAAGAACAATTATGATCTAAAGGGTATCAAAACTTACAAAAAAAAAAAAAAAAAAAAAAAAAAAAAAAAAAAAAAAGCTTAATATTTATTTGTTTACTTTATTAAACATTTCTTTCAATGTAAGTTGTTTAAGTTGCTTCGTTTTATGTGATAATACTTTCTCTTTAGTTCTATAAACAGACATAATTTCTTCTTCAGTTACAAAGTTCCGCTGTTAAAGTCCTATAATTGCTGTGTCGAGAATACTGACTAATTTGTCAATCACAATTTTTTCGTTTTCAACAACAACCTCTGTATCACTTTCTTCTTTATCGGAAGTGAATTATAATGACGAGGAATTTGATTTAAATCATATCAAAGACAGAGTACATCGAGATGAAATACTACATTTAGTAAGGAATTATAAGCGAAATAAAATAAAAACATCTGCCCTGAAGATAAGGATAGTGCTGACAGATTAACTTCCAATTCATTGTGCGCCGCGGCGTTTTGGCGTCCCCCCCCCCGAGATATAACATAAATTAATAAACAGATTTCGGAATGGTTTGAGAAACGAAGGATATGCCTTTATCCATTTTTTGCAGCAATTCCACTTTTTGTTTAATGGACTTCTAAACATACTTTCGCTTTGTAGATCCTTTACATATTAGTAATACATATCGGAAATTCTATTTGACATAATCGAAAGTTCAAGCTTACGCTTATAAAATTGCTCTAACAATCTGCAAAAAATAATAAGCTGGATCTAATTCGAAGATTCAGGAACAACGCAATCTGCAACATTAACTGAATTAGATAATTTTAGCTTAGCTTATACCATCCGTTATACATTAAATGCGCAAGCGTAAATGTATTACGCACATGCATATTCGCAGCCGTAAAGGTCTTACGTGCATGCTTCAACGCGACGCATGCGCAGAAAGTTCGTAGCTTTGAGGTCCGGACTATAGATCATGCTGGATTATGGGTGTCCGAATTAATGACTTTTGACTGTACTACAGATATGTACTGCTCTTTATTAGATAAAACAAGAGAAGACAAAAATAAAACTTATCAGTTAGAAGTAAGCAAAACATTCTTGGATATGAACGAATTGGAATTTATAACTGGCCCCTTTTTTAGCCTCAAAAAACCTAATTCACAAGTTGAAGAGGCTTTCTTAGACAGTTTTTAGCAAAAGAAAAATGATAAAGATGATGTATCTATCAAATATGATTCTCTTCAATACACACAGTTTTGTTTTGTTAACTTCATTTAACCAGCGATAAAATTGTTGTACCAGAAAAATGATATCCTTTAAAACTGGCTATGGTACAATTGACGTACTAGCGTTTTCCTTTCCCTCATTAAAGAAATCATGTGTCTCTTATTTTTTTAGCTAACAAAGAGATCTATGGATGGTCCAAGGTTGCCATTCATGGTAGTCACTGACTGAACATTCTTTCTTATTCTTAGCAAACTGTAACTGTTAGATGGTGCTGATATGCTATAACTATTTTAAAATTTTGTTAATGTTTAGAATATAGCTGTGTTGTATATCATCAAGGGTATAAAGTTGCCCTTGATTATGTTGTGCAAATAAAGGATTAACATCTAAAGTAAGTTCAATTACTGTCCCTGAAATTCATCAGATCAGAAATCAGGTAAGAACTTTCTATTTTATTTGAACCATTTGTCAATTGAACTCTTTTGTTTTAGGAAATTTAGCTCTATTTTAGTGAGGACTTTGTCTTGTAGCAATATAGTGGGAAATTAAGCAGAGATATTTGATGTAGTGTTTTCATGCAACTATTCAGTTATTCTTTTTTTAGCCCGAAGGGCATTAGCCTAGGAGGGCTATTAATTTCATTTTGGCATTTTGTGTTGAAAACTTTAAATGTCGGTTCACTTTTCAAATTGTTGACACCAAATAGTATCACACTTTGTTATATTTATAGAATTTAAATAATAAAGAATTTGCATAAATGTATATATGTTTAAATGTATATACATTGTGATTAAACAATGGTACCTAGGGCCATCAAATTTTAAATAACATAATCCTGCACCGAATATGGTCCTAATTTGGAATTTGAAATTTGTTTTATTATTGATTTCAAATTTTGTAACACGTTAACAGATTTTTTATTAACAAATACAATGATTTCAAATAGAGCAATGGCAAGAATGTATGGAAAAAAACATTTTTATCTCCAGCGTGCAAGACCGTCTATCGGAAATTCTAAAGATATGCTGTTTTTAAATATTTTGTGATATTGCTGTTGAATTGAATTTTATGCAATTTAAGTGTAAAGAATATGATATTTAATAAATAAAGGTAACACACAAAATATTAAAAAAAGTCCCTTTGGGGGTAATATAAAATCTGAAAGCTTTCATTTTTTTTCCCCCTTAACCTTAAAAAATATCAGACAGGACGAAATGCACTTGTGATACAAATAATACAAAGATCATAAAGATACTATTCATTTAAATTTCTTTTGATCACACTTTAAAAAATCATTAAATGAAATTATTTTATTTATTTAAAATGACATCCCTCTTTAAATATCAAACTATGAAATTTCATGATTAGCTAATTAATGTAAAAATTCAGATACATTATCTGAAATGGTTGGTTTCATTTTAAAATTCCCAAACCGGCGTAAATTAGATTGGATCATGGATCACATGTGTTGATAAATGATGACTGAGTTTGAGTGGAGATAGCTATTCTTATGTCAAGATCTATGGAAATTGTTTTTCAAACAAATCTTATGCCACAAAATTAAAAGATGTTGAAATATACATTAGCTCATCATCCTTACTAATATTATAAATGTGTCATGGGAATCCATCGATGGCATTTTCATCTTCGTATGATTTTAATCAGCTGAGATATTAATTAAAAATTCTGAAAATGCTAATTTGAATGCGACTCAATAGCAACATTAGGAATTTTTTCCTTGAGTCTTCACCGTGTGGGTCCATTAAATTGGTGATAAAAATCATACCTTTGGATCTAATTATCCAATTTCTCGAAATTTAGAAACTCATGTTGCTCTCTTAATGATAGGAACATTGGTGGTGTAACTGTTTTTGTTGCTTAATTATTTTCAGCTTTATCACAGAATACTCCGCTTGCTATTGTTAACTCTTTGTTGACAGGCTGCGATTCAAAAGTGGCTGACGGGGAAGCTGGTATCCGGTAGACCGCTGGGTTGGCAAAAAGGTCAAATTTCACGGATTTACACGTGGAAAAGCATTTTAAAATTAATAACTTCTAATTAACTTACCAACTTGAAACTATTATCAACATTTCGACTTTTGTGATATATTTAATGTTCTGTTTCATGTTTTTTTAAAGATCTATTCATTCGTGTTATATATTTCTGTTATTGTTGCTTGGAAAATTGCATTTACGTTTTATATTCTTTACATTTTACTGTGCACAATAAAAAATTTTGTTTTATCATTTTAAGGCACTCGAATGTTCTTTATTTTGAAATTTTATGCGGAGTGTATTTTTTAAATTCATGCGGAGTTGAAACTTATTTAATGACATTAACACGAGCGAAGCCACGGGTAAAGCTAGTATTTTAATACAAGTATCGAATAGTTGCAGCAGATACATCAGATAGTCTTGTCAATATAATTATATACAGATATAGAGAGATATAACAAATCTGTATGTGACTATATTTACCTGTCCAAAAATACAAATATGAAATAATTCAGTGTAGATATGACTTGAGAATTTTAAGATAGCAATAATTTAGGATGTGTGGGAGAAGAGACACCGGTACAACTCTGATATATGCCCTAATTTCACCAAATGTGGCGATATGTGTTCTGCGCTGGTTTTTGGCACGATTGCGTGTTGTATGGCATCCCTGTTGACGTTGAAAAATCTTTCATTGGTTCCCGTCATGCTTTGTGTCTTAGAAGCTAGGGGGAAAAGATTTAATGGTGAAAATTGTTAAATTGAAGTTCGGCATAAGGAAATATCGACGTGGCCTTCCTGTTGAGGGGCAATGGGTATTTGAAGGTGTGGAAAGAAGGTATGGGAGATTATTTTTAGTGGCTGTGCGTGATAGAAGTAGGGATTTGTGATTATTTGTTATTTTATTTATTTGTGAACCATAGTATGAATTTTCTGGATAGTGTGTCTGGCTGTCATATAAATACGATAGTGATTACGTGGTGGTATGTTAAAGGCGGTATGAAATTGGTATTTCTGTTGTTCGAAAAAGCATTAATGGTGAGTGCATTTTATTTTATTCTTGTTCTTATTTTGTAGAATGTTATGTTCATTGTTTTTTTAGTATGAATTTCTGTCGTTACTGTTTTTTTTTAATTGTTTAAAATTTATTTTAGTTATTTTGTTGATTAGAACGTACTGTCTAAATTGTGCAATTCGTAGATATTTTTTAAACTTGGAAAAAAAAAAAAACGCTGTGTACATGGTATTCTTTGAAATTTATTGTTGTTATATTAATTTATTAAAGCGGGGTGTGCGTAGTTCGTAAATTCGTTCGTTGCCTAGATGTTTTTTTAAGTTAAAACATATCGCTGTGTACATGGACTCTTGTCAAATAATTTTGGTTAGAAATTTCACGGTTTCGCTATCTAAATTT